AGGGAGAAAGTAGCCACACGCCGCCTCCCTCAGGACTGACAGGGTGGCTTTTGCAGCCAGTCGTGTCAGGCATTCGCAATTGCAATTGGGCGGTTGCCTCAGGCTTGGCCAAGGCTATCAGTCATAACGATGTGAGAAAATTCGCCACCCGCCTGTGACAATTTCCTTTCAGAACCGTATTCATCAAGGCGTGCATGTGGGTGCAGACGGATGCGTTAGTCACTCGCGCGTCACTTAAATGTTGAATGTTGTTCCTGACGGACCGGCTCCCACCCCATTCTTGCACCGTCTGAGCATCTTGACAAAATTTGTGTGTGCGATTTCCAGGTCGGATGGCAGTTCGGCGCTTTGTGGCTACATCAGCTGCTCAGGTCCAACTGATGGGTGCTTGCGGCGAAATTCTTTGAAAATCAGAGGGCTCGGCTGGCGTTGACTCAAGCGCTTGCACGGCATGACGCAGGTTACACTGCTTAGCCAGACCCTCCGCCCTGCTCATGATGCATGCGTCATCTGGTTGGTGTCGTGGCAGCAGTGGGGTGTTGACCGCTTCAACGGCGTCAGTGTATAGCTGTTCCCAGTTGCCGTTCTGAAAAGCACAAAGATGTGCTTTGATTTGTGGCCAATCAAGACTTTTTGGTGAGACTTGACGAAGTGTAAGTCGCGGAAGAAAAAGTAGGAGGCGCCAACCAGCAACCGAATCGGGATTTTACAAGAGATGGATGGTGTCAACAAGGCCAGCAAGAATAGCTGGCAGAGATTGGGTGGTAAACGGCATGACAGAGGAGGTTGGCAACTATTGCAGAGTGATGCCAGTTCCCAGTTCGCAACCGCGGCAAACCTGTCAACGTCCATCGCCTATTCTTCTGTTGAAAAATAGCTCTAGTTTGGTGTTTGGGCGTTGCTTGCAACTGACCCATTGCGGCCCGATTTGCACGAGCGCGGCTCGCTCTCGAGCAGGAGACCAGGTTGGAATTGTGGCCGTGCAATTCCCATCCTGCTCCTATGTTGCGAAGCTTGGTTGTGCTAGGCTGCTCGACTTCCTCTCTCGTTTCCCCCTTGCCCTCCTTCTTCCTCCACGCTCTCATTGCATTCATGAAGGGTTTCTGGCTCCTCTCTATACATTGGGTCCACATTTTCTTATAACGACGTGCCTTGTTCAATCAATCTTAAAGCCTCTCGTCCTGCTGTTTGAAACTCATTCCCGGGCCATCCGCCTACTCCGCTCTCTTCTTGTCGTCCCGCGCCCCGGCGCCTTCCTCCTCGTGATGATAATCGTTGGCCCGCCCAAGCCGCCGACAAAGCGCGCTGGCTCTGCATCTGGGGTGGGCGGAAAGTCGTCACCGGTGACTATATCGGCGGTAGGCGTGATGAAGCCGCCTGTCCCATCTGTCCCAAAGCTCGCGCCGTCAATCCATGCGGTCCCTGTTCTCCCGAAGTTGGACCCGTCGGCTGCTAAATCGAGGGATGTTATGCCTGCTCATTCCGCTCCCGTCGTTCCGGTATCTGGTCCCGCGCCTCCTGCCCTTACTCTGGAATCTCCTTCAGCTGCTGCTCACTATTCGCCGATGTTGCCCCTGTTGCGCCACCTGCCGCTGCTAGAGCATCCCAAGTCATTTTAGCCCAACATGGTAATATAGAAGGATAGATTACATTCTCCTAGAGCATAGTTTACAATCATCAGTGATAAGACTTTCGTTGTCATGATAGACTTACATTAATGGGCACAGGCAGCAACGATAAAGCCCCTTTCAGACTGGAAGAGGTGGTTCGCATCTACTGCTATAACTGAAGGATCAAGTGGACCGGATAGAGTTGTCAAGTTGTAGAGAAGACAACGGAGTCTTTGAGTGACCTTGTTAATAATGATTAGAAGGGAAAAAGATGATGAAGATAGAATTACAAGGAGACAAAATAGAAATCTAGCTAGTCATGTACTCTGAGGGGTAGATTCCCTTATTGCAACTGCATTGCATAATTAAAGTATTTGCGACTATCGCCATTCTGGACAATTACCTGGTTGCATCACGTAACCGGGGGGTCCGCGTGTCAAGATAAGCGGTAGTCTTAGGAGCCATAGCTAGGAGAGTCCTAGCTAGGCAAGAGAGTTTAGGCGAAAGAGGGGGTTGCACTAGCAAGAATGGGGATACAAATAGCAAACCCTAGAAGGGTTGTACTCGCTACAGAGCACCCCACTACAGGCTAGAGCATAATATTCTGACACACCCCCATAGCCAAAGTGGGGTGTAATCAGCAGAGCAAGCAAAGCAGTACAAGCTCAGGGTGGATCACAATGTCACCACACATTCTGAGCACAAGTTTAAGAAGCAATAGTTTAAAGTTCACAATTATGAGCAAAGCTAGTGGTAGTCACAACGGGCAAGTGAGGAGGAGGAGGGCTGGCGAGAGGAGAGTAGATGGGAGGCGACGACTGAAGCTGCAGGCACACGGGCAACAGACGGCTCTGGTGCGACACAGTGGCTACCGGGAGTGAGTGCCCCGGAGTACAGGAGTAACAGGCTCCGCGGCTAAGACGAGCAGCAGGAGCAACGGACCCACAGGCGACGGCGCAACCGGCTCTCTGAGCTACCGGGAGTGAGTGCCCCGGAGTACAGGCGCTGCGTACGACACGACGGCAACCTCCCCTCAACCTCCCCCAACAGTCCCACACCCCTCGACACACACCCGCTGCTACACCGCTAGCTCCACTCCCCCTTCACCCCCCCTTAGTACCACTCCGACGGCTCCAACAGGTCCACCCCCCTCAGCGGCAGCTGCAGCACAGGGAGACGGAGGAGGAGGAGGAGCAGGGAACGGCACACAGAAGCTGCACCCCCATACCCCCCAACCCCAAACCCTAATCCAGGAGAACGGGCAGAAGGAGGGGTGGGGCGCCTTCAGAAGCACGGGGGACAGCGGGGAGGACAGGGGCAGCGAAGAACGGGCCGCCCACGGGCCTGGCACAGCCTCCCGAACCGCGCGCAGGCGGTCCGAGCCGCGCGCGGGCCTGGCGCAGCCCGTACGGGCCGCGCGCGTGCCTGGCGCAGCCCGTACGGGCCGCGTGCCTGGCGCAGCCCGTACGGGCCGCGCGCGGGCCTGGCGCAGCCCGTACGGGCCGCGCGCAGGCCACGACGGGCGACGGGGGGCGACGCGCGGGTCCCCGTCGCCCGTCGCAGCGCCTCCCGGGGGCGACGCGCCGAGTGACGGGGCAGAAACCCGCCGCGCGCCTCGGGGCACACGGCGGGCAGAGAACCGCCGCGCGCCTCGGGGCGCACAGCGGGCAGAAAACCGCCGCGCGCCTCGGGGCGCACGGCGGGCTGAAAACCCTAGTTTCGACGCCGCGCACCACGGGGCGCGCGGCGGACAGGGAGTAGCAGTAGCAGCGGAAGCAGTGAAGTGGGCCCACAGGCCACGAACGTTAAGCTCTGATACCATGTCAAGATAAGCGGTAGTCTTAGGAGCCATAGCTAGGAGAGTCCTAGCTAGGCAAGAGAGTTTAGGCGAAATAGGGGATTGCACTAGCAAGAATGAGGATACAAATAGCAAACCCTAGAAGGGTTGTACTCGCTACAGAGCACCCCACTACAGGCTAGAGCATAATATTCTGACACCGCGTTCGTTACCGGGTCCGTCGGCGACGACATTAGGTGCAGAAGGAGGAGGCTGTTTCGCGCCATTCAACAGGTCCAGCGCGGTCAATGTTGCGTTTCCGCCATTTCAACGTGGCGATCTTGAGCGGTCGCGAGAGGAAGAAGCGCGATCCTCATCTCTTGGCGGGGAAGCACGCCTTCTGCTGCTGCGCGTAACCATTCATGGAGCGGGGGGTCGGCCGGTTACTCCGGAAACAAAGCCAGACGCCATGGTTGAAAACCTGACGTTGATCACGTCGTTGATTAAAGTGCTCCTATGCCCAACTCTAGGCATAGGAGGGGTTTAGGGAGTGTGCTGGTGGTAAGCAAAATTGGAGATATGAAAATGCAAATGAGACTATGACGACTGCACTGCACACTCCTCGGAGAGTCGTGTCACAATACACGGGTTTTCACTGTAGGCATTTAGGGGGTGTGTTGAAATGTATTTGTATACATTCATATAAATGCCTACAGTAGCCTAGTGTAGGCCCTCAAACTATTATGTTTGACAGCTGTGATTTCCTCGGAATTTTTGCGTAGATGCTGCAGCAGTTCGTTCAAACGCTCTTGTGTGAGGCTCTTGACGTCGATGTGTTCGGCCATGTCAAAAGGTGTCGACTCAGCTTAGTTCAGGGCGCGGTCGTGGCTGCGTGCGTTTACAAGAGAACGCGAGGACAGCAGCTCCTAGGCGCTAAGGGGCGTGAGTCTTTTTGAGCGAAAATCAAAAGTTGATTCCCTGGATGCGGATATGCGCGGTCCGATAAGAAATTGGCTATGATACCAAGTGTTACGGATGCAATGGAACTGAGATAGCGATGATAGCACTAGGTGCCAAACGAGTACAAAGTATGAGCAAAGGCATGAGCGAATACTTATGTGCGAACATGCAAACGGTAACGCGGTGCGTGCGAGCTAGCTAGTGCTAGGCTGGCATCGAGGTTCGGGCTAGCCCCGAGGCGTAGGCCGACTCGGCCGGGCCAGCGGTGCATGGTTTGGTAAAACAGTGCGCGCGAAATTGGCGCGTTAACGAAAAACGAACGAACAACGGCTGCTGCTGTACGGGATGTTGACGGTGGCGGTAAGGAATGTTGAGAATATTCCTTGCACTTGTTATTTCTTAGCATAACTAGTCAGAGAATGCAGGTCATTTACTTTTTATTCTGGATTACCATTATAGCGAGCAACCACTATGGCTGGTAGGGCAGCCACCATCAAACTCAACATGTTCAGACGCGACTCGCGGTAGTTTCAGGTGGAGTAAGAGTCGCGCGATTGAGTAGGACGCTTTGAGCTTAATTACAGCCTCACGTGTCGGAAGGGTGCGTCCCATCTGCACCTGACCGTCTCTGTTCGTCTCCGCGCGCCATTACCATGATCTCCGCCAAAACTCCGCCGCTGGCCCAACGCGCCGGTGGAGCGGCGAGCTGCAGCGCGGGCAGGCGCGTGTCGGCCTGCGGTACTGCCGCCAGCGCTGAAGTGCGCGTGCGGGCATCGGCCACCCGCGGCAGAAGCGCCCCGCTAGGAAGCGCGAGATCTCGGCCATTTCCGAGCGGATGTGTCTGCCGGGACCTTGGTGGTGCTGCCCGCACGCCTCGCCATGCGCGCGCCATCATCGCCGGCTCGGCCGCGCCAGCTGATTCCCGCGGCGCAGCGTCCCAATCGTCCCCCTCGCGACCCCGCTCGACCCATGTAGCGGCCAGCGGCGGGTTGCATGCGGCGGGCGCGGGGGAAGCGGAGGAGGCGGCGGCGGCGGAGCGGGAGGTGGCGTGGGCGCGCGGCGAGGAGGGCGTGTGGAGCGTGGTGATCCCCACGTACAACCGCCTGCCCATCCTCACCAAGTGCCTGCGCGCGCTGGAGCAGCAGCGCGGGTGGCGGCAGGCGGGCGTGCGGCGGTACGAGGTGGTGGTGGTGGACGACGGCTCCCATGACGGCACCGTGCGCGCGCTCGCCGCCATGGGCGTGGCGTCCTGCGAGGGGGGCGCGCAGGGCGCGGAGGAGGGGGGGCCGGGGGGAGCGGTGGATGGCGGAGAGCGGGATGCGGCGGTGGCGTTCCCCCACGTGCGCGTGGTGCAGCAGCAGCACGCGGGCGCAACGGCTGCGCGGAACCTGGGCGTGCGCGTGGCGTGTGGCAGCACGATGGTGTTCATCGACTCCGACATGGTCGTCTGCCCCGGTGCGATGCGGGGCGCAGGGGCATGCGCGGAGCCGATGGGAAACAGGGTAGACGGAGAGTGGGGAGAGGTGGAGAGCGGGGGAAGGAGGAGCGGAGGGGAAATGGGGGGTGATGGAAGGGTGATGAGGGGGAGGGAGATGGGGGAAAGGTGGAGAGGTGGAGGGGGAAATGGTTGGACGGACGGATGGAGGAGGGGATTGGGGGAGAAGGGGAGATGGGCGGTGAGTAAGGAATGCCCATGCGAGGAAGGTGGAGGAGTGGGAAGGGGAAAGCGCACGTAGGAGAGAAGGAAGGAGAGGGAGGGGGAAAGAGGGAGGGGGATGGAGACACACGAGCAGACACACACACACATCCAGAATTTTGTTTACAGCTTAATTTTCTCATAAGACTGTTGCTACTGCATGCCTACGTCCCCTCGCCCCACATTTGCAGATTTTCTAGCAGCACATGCGCGTGCTCTCGCGGAGGCTAGGAGCAGGTTCGGGGACGAGCGCACGTTCACGTACGGGCGAGTGGTGAACACGAGCAACTTTGATGACCCCATGGCGGAACCCTTCAAGCTCACCGTGCGCGCTGCCCCTCGCCTCGCCTTGCACCTTGTACCTTGCATCCCATGCTGCCTTTTGCTGATCAGTTTGGTGCCTCCTGCCTATGTGCAAAATCCGGTGTTTGTGCTCTTGTAATCTATGCATTCACATGCTTCGTTGTGCACCTCCCCAAAGCACACCCCCCATACCATGTGCTCTCCCTCGTCCCCACCCCTCGCCATGACGCCATGACTCCCTGACTGCGTGCTTGCAGGACTACTCAGCAGCGTTCTTCGCCACGGGCAACGTGGCCATCTCCCGCCACATGCTGGCCGCCGCCACTCTCCGCCTCACCCCCCCTGCTGCCACCTCCTCCTCCTCCTCCTCCTCCTCCTCCTCCTCCTCCTCCTCCTCCTCCTCCTCCTCCTCCTCCTCCTCCTCCTCCTCCTCCTCCTCCTCCTCCTCCTCCTCCTCCTCCTCCTCCTCCTACTCCTCCTCCTCCACCTTCTCCTCCTCCTCCACCTCTCTTGGGATGCGCGCAGGAGTGGATGCGAGGGCTGGGGGGGCACTCGCGGTTAGACATGGAAGGGAAGGAGGCGGGGGAGAGGGGGGTGATGAGGGGTGTGGAGGGGAGGAGGAGGGGGAGGAGCAGCAGTGGGAGCAGAGGGGGCCGTTTGATGCGGAGTTCAGCAGCTACGGCTGGGAGGACCTGGAGCTCGGAGGTGCGCTTGCTCTCACCACGGCCATGCCGGGTTGGGGGGGGAAGGGGGGGGTTGCTTTGTTTAGTAGTAACTTATAAGGGCAGCAGTAAAGGGCATTCAAGTGCGAGGTTAGTGGGGATGAAGAGTGCCGTGGCACCTACTGAACTGTGTGCTGCTAGGTGCATTGCCTCCAACCCTTGCTCTTCTCGCCTAACCTGTTCTCCATGTGCCTCCTGCGTGTGTGGGGTGGGGCAGAGCGGTTGCGGCAGTGTGGCGCGCGCATATGGCAGTGCCCGGAGGCCGTGGGCTTCCACTGGCACCCGCCCTTCCATCCCTCTCAGCTGCCCGCTCTCATCCTCCAGGTGACCCCTCCTCATGCTTTCCACATGCTGTCTCCATGCTGCCTGCATGGTGCAGCACCATATGTTGTTCCACTTAGCTGCTTCCATCAGCAGTGCTTGGTGAAAGCACATGCTGTTTGCCCTGGAAACTTCGTGACTGCCTTGAGTTTGGCCGTGCATGTGGAGCGGTTGTCAGTGCCAGCAAATGGCCCTCGCCACATCTCTTCACTGCACAATCCACTTGCTTTCTACACCACGCTTGGCCCTTGTTCCCACTGCCTGCGCACCTTATTCCAACTCATCATCTCTGCTTACCCTGCACATGGCCCCAACCCCCATGGCACACGCGCATGTGGCGGGGGGCGGCAGGAGCGGCAGCGGGGGGAGAACGGGGTGCGGTTCTTCCTGAAGCACCGCACGCTGAACGTGCGCCTCATGGTGCAGATGACGCCCTTCCACGCCGCCCTCTGGTTCCTCCTCACCCTGGGGGGCGCCCTCAACGAGCGCTCCCTCGCACCGCTGCTCGCATGGCTGGTGCAGCAGGGCCATCCCGGGGTGGCCATGGGGGTGCTCTCCCCCGTGCTCAACTGGCACACCGTGCAAGCCACACACGAGGAGGTGCAGCGGCTTAGGAAGGCAGGGGTGGATGTGTGACATGGGCAGGGGTTGTGGACACGTGGGCAGGTGAAGTTGCAGTGAGCTGCTGCAGACTTGATGATTGTTGTTGTGGATGTGCTGGTAACTGTGAGGGGCTAATTCTCTTTGCACGACTTTCTCACATTGTAAGAGTAAGACTGTTCATGGGAAGGGCACATACCACAACTAGTCATCATTGCAAAGGCAGTCCAACATCACCATTGAGTGTTGTGCGCATCTCTCAAGATTGTTGCCGAACATTGACCAATATGAGAATGTGGCAATCAAAAACATGCGAGTCAAGTTGTTAGTCACGTGCAGGCAGGACCCACCCCATGGACAAGGTCTAGCGGACTCAAGGGCGTCCCTCAAACTAACCATCCACACATCAGAACTCATGACTCATGACTCATAACCATGCCTCCACCATGAGCCTTCCCGCTCGCTGCAGCGCCTTCACCCACGCCCTCGCCTGCTCCTCATCCACCCCTCCCTCCCTCCTCACCACATCCTCCAGTGCGCGAATGACATCTGCCGGCATCTTATTGGCCGAGCCAGCAATGAGCACTGCAGCACCGTGCTGCAGCAAGTGCCAGACCTGCCGTGCATGCTCTCCAATCAAGTGCTGCACATACACCTTTGACGGCTGGTCTCGCGAGAACGCCACAAACAGACCCCCTCCCTTCTCTTGCGCCAGAGGGGTGCCCTCATGCCCCTCCCTCTGCTCGTCCGCACCGGTAGCCCCATCTCGTGCCTTGCCAAGGTCTCTGGAGTCCTCCACCATCGCAGCAGCCCCGTTCACCCCATCCATTCCAGCTGCCCCATCCACGCAACCCACAATGCCATTCACCTCTCCACTCTCACTCCCCGCCATGCCCTCCTGCCCGCTGCCTCCTTCATCCACCTGCGCCTGCTGATGCATACCCGCCAGACGCTCCCACTCCGCCTGGTACAGGTAGTCGCCACGCTGTGAGCGGCACCCGAAGAAGAAGACCACTGGCGCCACTGCGCCTGCTTCGGTACCGGAAGAACCATCTTCTGCAGCAGCGGCCGCAGCAATGGCTGGAGCAGCGGCTGGAGCAGCAGCAGAAGAAAGGCATGCTCGTTGGTGGATAAAGGAGCGGAAGGGAGCACAGCCAGTGCCAGGGCCGACAAGAACAAGCGGCACGGAGGGGGGCGGCAGGGAGAGGGTGCCGGGCGTGACCCAGATGGGCAGCGGTGGGGCTGCATGGCGGTGGGGAGCGCAGGAGGCACACACACACATGGGTGGGGATGGTGGCAGCAGAGATGGGGAAGCGTGAGGTGGGCAGGGGCGAGAAGAGCTGTCATGTGTGAGAGAGAGAATCCATGCCATGTGATGTCACGTCGTCTCTCCAGGAGCCATGTAAGACGGCGCGGGCAGAGACAGCAGCACAAGCAGACCAGACCAGATGTACATGCGCAAGCACCCAATACATGAGTACGCACACTGACCTTGGCCGGGGTGCAGCGAGGCCAGCCAGCGCGAGCACAGGCCGAGGCGCGTGCGCTTGAGCGGCGTGGTGACACGCACAAGCGCTGCTGTGATGTGGCAGCGACCGGGGTGGGCGAGCGGCGAGGAGGAGATGGAGAAGGAGCGCGGCTGCAGGCGCGGACACAGCTGCAGCAGCCAGGGGAGAGGCAGGGCCACGGAGGAGAACTCCTGTAGCACCTGGTGTGGTGGGGGCGAGAGGGGCGAGTGGGAGAGTGCGGAGCGAGAGTGGTGCAGCATTGGGTGTTAAAGGTGCTTTTGGACCAAGACAAGAAAGCAGAGGAACAAGGGGGAAGGTTTAACAGGGGGCTTACGCCTAAGAATGAAAAGGCAAGGAGAAAAGGGAACTGGCAAGGTAGGGCAGCAGGCAGCCGCAGACTAGAGAGGAGGAGCAGGCGTTACCTCGAGCACGGTGCGCCTCTCCCTCTGGTTGTACTCGTGCAGGTCCTCACGGCCCTCCGGCGATGCCAGCCATGCCAGCTTCTCCCGCTCCCTCTCATCCGATGCAAAGCGCGCCAACACCTGCCCCGCACCCAGTGCACACACACAGGGAACACACGTGCGAGGGGAAGCACATGAGCAAGGAGACACTAAGGAGCGCGTGCAGGCAATTACTGCGTGAACCCAAGGGCCAATTACTGGGTGAGAGGCAGTGACGGCCCATGGAGTACAGCACCAAGCATGATGAGAGCAGCGCGGGCATTGCTGTGCAGTGCGCAGCGCAGCACGGGGGGAGAGGCGGTGCGGACCTCAAAGAAGTAGGCGCGTGGCGATGCGGAGTTGATGTCCAGTGTGGCCGCCACGAGCGCCAGCACCGACACTGCCGTGGCCCCTGCAGGGGAGGGGGAGGGCTCGCCTGCAGGCCGCACCTGTGGTGCGGTGGGATGGTGCGTGGACAAGAAGGGTGAGAGACGGTGTCTGGCAGATTCAAAATGAGTGTGCTCACGCTGACATTTGTTCAGGGCAGGTGGTGGAGAGACATGGGAGGGAGGAACAGAGGTGGAAGGTCGAAAGTAGCAAAGCTGCAATGAGGAAATATGCCCGTGACAGGAAGGGAGGGAGGGACCGTTACATCGTTCCTATGAAGGAGAGCAGGGCATGAGAAAACAAAAGAGAACAGTCAAGAGTTCGGGCCCTCGGAATGAAATGATTACGAGAGTTGCGGTGCTTGCAAGGAGAGTGAAGATGCAAACAGCAAGGCGTGTGCATTGCAGGATGCGATGACCATGATTCAATGGTGGGTGCGAATGAGAGTGTGGTGTGAGAGCGTGGTGCGTGTGCATGGTTGCAGGGGGCACTGACGAGGACGCGAGTGTGCGGGTGCAGGTGGCAGCGGTGCAGCAGAGCCAGCACGGCAGAGCGCGGCTGCGAGGGGAACACGTGCAGCACGTCCCCCGGGGAATACTGCGGTCCCTGCAGGGGGTGATGAGCGGCAGAGAGGGAGACATCGAGCGGGGAGGGGGAAAGAGAGGAAGCAGGGATGGCACGTGTAAGATGGTGAAGAGGGAATAAGTGAAGGGAGGAGTGGGCGCAGGAGGAGGGAACGAGGGTAATGGCACGGAGGAGCTGTAGCAGGGCGGTTGGTGTAGAAGCCCAGCAGCGGCAGAAAGCTCATAGGGCACACCACACTGTGCTGCAGCAGCAAGAAAGAGCAGCAGCACCGTACCCCCTGGGTGTCGAGCTCGATGTGCCTCACGTCCTGCCAGTGCCCCTCCGCTGTAATGCGCCGATTCACCTCCTGCCACAGGCACAGCACAGGTTGGCAGGTGTCACACACGCATCTCACTCCTCACCCTCCTTCCATTCCATCTCCTATCCTTCCCTTGCCACCTGCTGCAGGGGGGTCCAGGCATCAGATCGTGCTAGTGGTGCTGCGCACACAGGGAGGCGCAGCACGCTGATGGGAAGCGCAATGGCATAGCGGCAAGAGGGACGAGGGAGAACGTGGGCAGGGACGAGCAGGAATAGTCAAGTATGTTGCATGTTGGGAAGGCGAATGGGATGAAAATATTTGACGAGAATGTGGCAGCTGAGAGATAGGAGGAAAGGCGGAAGAAGCAGGGAATAAGAAGTTGTGGGCCACAGGGATCCAGGGGTGCAAGAGGTTGTTCGGAAACGTGTGCGCCTCACCAGTGTGGCGAGGAAAGGATGGTGGCGGTCGAATGTGGGCTGCTCGCCCCCTTCACCGCCCTCACCACCTGCTGCTGCTGCTGCTGCTGCTGCTGCTGCTGCTGCTGCTGAAGTGACAGGAGTCGCAGCAGCGGTGGCCTCAAGTACTGCCGGTTGGTCGGGAGCACCAGCAAGTGGAGCAGCAACAGTGCCATCGGTAGTGGTGGTGTGCGGTTGCGAGGGCGAGTGGGGCGTCCAGGGCGCGGAGAGCGCAGCATCCATCATTGCCACTGCTGCTGACATCTCCTGCGACCACGCCACCCACTCACCCGCTGCCACCGCTGCTCAGGGGGAACGAACAAACGGGCGACAACAACAAAGGGGTTCAGTCCATGCACCTGATGGTTCCTACGGCATGCGGGTAGCACGGCATGGTTTGCACATGAGGCCAAGAGGCAGGCGCCACAGAAGGAGCAACGCAATAGCTACAGTGAGCTGGCGGAGTGAGGGGCAGTGGAGCACTCACCAGCGTCAGGCGCAGGGGGTGATGGCGGCGCTGCCGTGTGCGGTGGCGGTGCAGCATGCGAGGGGGAGTCCGGCAGCACGTGCACGTGTAGGCGCGGGTGGTCCTCGGAGGGCAGGGCGGCGGAGGGCGAGGGAGGAAGTGGCGGGGGTGGCAGCACGGGCCACAGCGACGCCAGCCACACGTCCAGCGCTGCTGCGTACCTGCACACAGGGGAGGCAGGAGGGGACAGGTTGGAGGTTGGGTTGGGGGGGTTGAGTGTATGCGATGGGGCGGGGGTGAACAGAAAAGAGAGTTGCACGAGTGTGGGAGCGCAGGTGAGGTGAGGGAGCAGGGGCGTGTGCGTGAGCATGGAGCAGGGAGCGCTCACCCACAGGGGTGCTGGTCGTCCCCCAGCCCTCTGGGCAGCAGAGGCATGGCGCCCAGATCCATCATGCGCCGATCCACCTTCTTCGCTGCTGCCTGCATGGCGTGGCGTGGCAGGAGCAGGATGACGATGGAGTTATTCTTCACGGCGGCAGCAATGGAGAAATTTGTCGATTTCGAATTTGAAAAAGGCAATGCAGTGTGGTAGTGCGAGAGGCAGCACAGAGGAGGGAGGGGGTTGAGACGAGAGGCCCACAGCACAGGTGGTGCACAGGCAGCATGCAGTGGTCCAGGGCCACAGGCGGAGTGCAGGGAACGAGAAAACGCAGCAGAGGCGGAAAATTGAGTGCGAGAAGTGCGGTGAGGGTGTAGTGGGTGTGCAGAGGGAGGGAGAGGGCGGGCGGGGCAGGGCACGCACGTTGAAGTGCTGGTAGGCGGAGTCCCCTAGCCCGAACACCGCATAGCGCGTGCCGCCCAGCCAGTCCCGCGGCAGCGAGCGGCGTAGCAGATAGCGCCAGAAGCGCTGGGGGAGATAGGGGCAGCGGGAGGGGTGCAGGGCGAGGGGTGGTGTGGTGAGAGTGCGTGACTTGAGATAACGCACCCCTTCGCATATGCATGGCTCCACAGTGTGGCATGCAATTGGTGTAGCGGGGGTGCGTGAGCATCGACCCTATCCCTCACATCGTCCCATGGTCCCCCTGGTCGTATCCCTGCTCCCCCTGCTCCCCACTTCCCCCCCAGTTCCCCCAGTCCCCCCGGTCCCCCCGGTCCCCCTGCCCCCCAGCGTGCTCACCTTCATGCTGGTGGGCACCTCGCCTTGCCCCGCCGTGGCCACCACCAGCACCACCACCGCCTCCCCGGGTAGTTGCTCCTGCACGCGCGCCACACAGGATTTGCAACGAGGGGGATTCGTGGTGAGGCGGGAGAAGGCGCATGAGTGCGAGCACAGGGCCTGCGCGCCTGGATCTGTGGTAATCACCTACTGCAATTCTCGCGCTCATTCGATTGCTCCCAAACCCTTTTCATCGCCCCGCGCCTGTCACAGAATACTGCGAGCCTCCCCGACCACCTCATCCTCCTCAATCGCACTCTCCTCCGCTTCCCCCAGCGCGCCGCTCTCACCGCGCGGTAGTCCGCCATGGACGCCACGCGCACGCCGTATCCGCGCCGCGCCGCCTCGCGCGCCACCTGCTCCGCCGCGTCCTGCGCGTTGCCCGTCTCCGACCCCACCAGCACCAGCAGCCGCGCCGGCAGCGCTCCTGCCGTCGCCATGGCGCACGCAACTGTGTCGTGACGCGCCGCGACGCGCACCTGGCTAGGGACAGGTACGGGATGACGAGCCTGATCAAGGGTTGGGAGACATGCTCGTGCTTTTACCTGCTTTCAAGGCCTTTAAGAAAACGTTGTATTTCTTATAGTCGCGTGTGTGCGTGTTTGACATACGATATGGTTAAATATATATACATTCAGTACTTGCTCAAGTTGCTACTTAGATACAATGTCAAATCCAAGTTGAGCCACTAATAACGTGTTAAGAAGCACAATATTTGGGCTGCAAAACTGTTCTTAGGGATCTTTTCAACATTAGATTACAGCGGAAGTCTTACGGTATGATTCATGTACTCGCACGTGGGACCCACTGCCTCATAGAAAGAATGTTGATTTAGGTAACAAAACAAGAGGCTGAAATTGCTGCGATCAGTTGGTGATCGACCCTAGGATCTCCTCAGGAAGGCTCGCACACAGCTAAGTAGTGGTGGTGGGCCCTTGACCTCAATAGCAGAGTGAATGTAAAATGCTTGAGATGATTAAAACATGCAAATACAAAGGTATAAATATGAGTACAAGAGAATTCGAAACGACCTATCTAGCCATGTACTCTAAGGGGTACATTCCCTTATTCAATTCATCCCCGACCGTGCGGCGCGTACAGTTACGAAACTGTTCCTGCCAAATTCCTCTTGCCTGCAGCTGCCCGATGCCGTCTGCTCCGACGGTCCAGATCCACCTTAACTGTCCGTCGCTTCGAGTCAACTCTGACTCCTCGCATTCATTCTCGATACTGCGTGCTTCCCTTAGCTGCGGTTAGGAGTGCACAATAATGTTTCATTCATTACTATTCGTAACACCCCCCTTCACTCCTGGCCGTAGCTCGACTTGACCTGCTTGACCACTCCGCTGAGTTCTTTCTGAGCAGTGCTGGTATTGCTGACGTGGTAGTCGCTTCGCCAGAAAGTCAACTGCCATGTCACCTGCTGGGTAGTAGGTCAGGTCCACCTTGCCTTTGTCCATTACGTATTTGACGAAGAAATACCGCAGCGCAATGTGTTTGGTGCGGTTGACGAAGCCGGGCTTGTTGGCGATGCAGATCGCGCTTTGGTTGTCACAGTGCAAGCAAAAGGTGGGCAAAACTTGAATTTTCGCCTCCTCCAGGAGTTCTTGTAGGTAGAGACCTTCGCGAACTGCTGCTGTAGCTGCGATGAATTTCGCTTTAGCTGATGATAGGGCAACCAGCTCCTGTTTCTGGGAGTTCCAAGAGATTGGTCCCGTCGGCTCGAGGCAGAACTGGAAGCCAGTCCTGGACCGTCGATTGTCAAAGTCTGCTGCGTGATCGGCGTCCACGTAGCCGATGAGATTGAAAGATGTGGTTGGCACTGCTGAGTAGCAAAGTCCAATCTTGGGGGTTGAAACGAAGAACTGTAGGGCGCGCTGCAGATCCAGAAGATTCTCAGCCGTTGGTTTGCGGGAGTACTGAGCCAACCGGATCACAATGTAGGAAAGGTCGGGTCTGCATGTGACAGAGGCGAAGAGCAGGCATCCCAACTGCTGCTGATAAGCCTGAAAATGCGAGCGGGGGATAGGGCTTTGTTGTCAGGTTTGTGGTTCGGTCCGGGACTTCTGTAGGGAGTGGAGAGTGGTGTAGGCAAAATGTTGAAACGCCTCCCAAGCTCTTCTGCGTACTTAGCTGCTGAGAGATGGATAGCTTCTGGTGCGTAGGAGATGTTGAGGCCTAAGAACTGCTTCACCTCGTATATGCAGGTGATATCGACGCGCCCCACCAGACTCCTCTTGAACTGCTCCAGCAGTTTGTTGCTTGAACTGTGTAAAGCAGGTCGTCGACGTAGACCGTGAGTAGGATGTATTCTCCGCCGTAATCACAGCGGTACATCCCAGGATCATGAGGCAGCTGCTTGAACTCGATTTCGAGCAGGATGTTGTGCAGATACTGCTGCCAGAGCCTCGGTGCTTGTTTAATCTCGTAAAGGGACTTGCGCAGCTGGCATACGCGCGAATCCCCTTCGCCGTACGTGTGCGGCAACTCCACATAGATCACAACATCTACCAATGCGTACAGCAACGCATTCTTTACGTCGATCTGGCGCAGAGATACGTGTCTAGCAGCTGCGATGGCGAGAAAGATTCGGACGCATGTGTGGCGGCTGACCGGTGCGAACGTCTGGTCGAAGTCGATGCCATGCCTCTGGTCGTACCCGCGCACTACCCACCGCGCCTTGAAGCGCTCGATCGTTCCGTCCGCTGCGGTCTTCATGCGGGAGACCCATTTCCCCGAGAGGAAACTCGCGCCTTTGATTGCTGCGCGGTCGACTAATACCCAGGTGTCTCGTGATTCGAGAGTCTTGATCTCGTCCATTGCTTCGCGCCATTCTTTGCTGTGTAGTCCAGTGAGGGCTTGGCGCGGGTTTCGCAGCTCGATGACACATGGCGCCTTTGTGGTTGCAGCGTGGAGCCCGAGCAACTGCAGCCCAGAGACGGTGCTGTCGTGTCGATGTTGTGGGACGACTTCATGTACGTCGTCGTCATCGCTCTCTGTCTCGGGTGGTGCTTGTGGTGCTGCGCTTCTGCCGCTTCCGCCCGTTCCGCCCATTCCTCCTCCTGCCAGAGGAGTCGTCGTCATCGTCGTCGCTACTGTGGCGATATCCCCTCGTGAACTCACCCCTGGTATTCTGCTCCAGAATTGTTGCAGCGGCTTCGTCCTCGGGCGTTGCGTAGCTGTGTCCGTCATTCGCGTAAACGTGATTCGCGTTTGTCTCCTCATCATGGCGGAACTGCTCGAGGAAGAGGCGTTCGTAGAAGATGACGTTACGCGCGTGGGTAGTCTTTTGACTGAGAAGGTCTAGGATGATCCACGCCTTGTGCTCGTGGCTGATGCCGATGAAGTGAATCCCCCATCGCGCGCGGTTGGTGAATTTGCAGATGGTTGACGTCGGCGGGCGGTATTGCACCATGCACCCCCACACGCGGAGCATGGACGTGTCGCCCTTGGTCTCGGTCCATTTCAGATGAGGGGACAGGTTGCCAGTGATGGCGGTGGTTGATAGTAGGTTGTGCACCTGCACGGCGTGATGCATTGCGCAGGTCCATTAGATCGGCGGTAGCTTCGACTGCTTCATCAGCGCCCGCACCTTCATCATAAGCGTGCGTTTCATCCGCTCGGTTACGGCCTGCTACTGCTGTGTGTGGGGGAGAGAAATGTGGTGCTCGATCCCCTTTTGCGCCAGATAATCCTACATCTCCTTGCTCCTGAATTCTGCTGCGTCGTTAGATTGCCAGATCTTCATCTTTTCCCCAGACTGTCGTTGCGCATGCGCCAGCCAGAGGCGAAATACTTCGTATGCTGCGCGATTCCACATTCACGACCCACACATAGCGCGTTCCAGCGTCGATGAAGGTGAGCGTGTACATTTCGTCGTCGACTCCGCAGTGCCCCAGGAAGTCACTGTACACCTTGTGCAGCTTGGGGTAGCGATTCGTCCCAGGCTCGAGCAGCGGGAACGACCAGTGGCTCAGCGCGGCTTCGGGGCAGATGGTGCAGTTGCGCGGGTGTGTCGCGCCTCTCACTTCGGTGCCATCTGGGCGCAGTAGCGCCCCAAAAGCAAAGACTCCCACGTCGATACAATTTTCCAGCGTCGCACGTGAAGGGTGTCCGAGGCGCTGGTGCCAGAGTGCATCGTCAGCGCGAAAGCCGGAGGTGCGCATATAGCGCGCACGAGCTTCTTTGGGGTCTTCATCAGGTACGGGGGTAGGTTCTGCTGATGCTTCTTCTTCTGCTTTGTCTTCGTCGCTGGCGGTAGTTAGCATTAGCGCCAGGAATTCCCTATCGCGGATCTCAGAGAGGGAGATGTTGGTCCCAGGGATAGTTCCAGGGACGAAGGTGGGTTCACGCGGCTCGGGGGCAGGTCCGTAAACAGTGCGACGCGAGGTTGATGATTCGTTGCCCCAATCGATGGTGGCCCAGGGATCATGGTGTGGCAGATTATCAGGAGAAGGTAGTGCGGGTGGAGCATGGCGTGGGGGGAAGACCAAGGGGAACAACTGTCAGAATCCCAGCCACTAACCACTGGGATAAAAGGGCTTGTTTGTGTAGCGGGTGAGTGCGCCCATAACCCCCCAGGCCAACATGCCTGTAACCCTTCCCTAGGATCATCGGGGATCTCCAGTGGACCTCTGACACCCCCCCGCACTGGGATGCCCGAGGTGCACACACCGGGATTCGAACCCGAGACCTTCGCTCTGATACCATGTCAGAATCCCAGCCACTAACCACTGGGATAAAAGAGCTTGTTTGTGTAGCGGGTGAGTGCGCCCATAACCCCCCAGGCCAACATGCCTGTAACCCTTCCCTAGGATCATCGGGGATCTCCAGTGGACCTCTGACAACAACTGCAGGTATAGCCTCTGCTTCTTCCTCTGCTTCTTCTCCCTTCTTTTGTTCTTTGCGGGAAGTCCCCCAGCCACTGCCTTTGTTGCCAGTTGCGGCACCCCAACCGCCATTTGCGTTGGCCCAGGTTCCGCCGCTGTTGCCCCATCCGCCGGTGTCACTCGTTCCCCATCCGCCAGCGCTTCCCCACCCCCCTTCATTGGAGGCGCTCTCCTCCTCTTCGCCCCCCCATGCGCCGTAGGCGAATGTCCCGTGTGCTTCGGCGAGACTCTGTCGGCGAAGCTCCTCAGCTTCACGGCGCGCCTGTTCTGCTTCTTGCACCACGGTGAGCTTCTTCGTCGAGTCG